CTGAACTAGCTAGGGTGGATGTCACAAAAGGACAAATGACAGTTACCATGGTAACCTAGCTCAACAACGGGGAGTCTTCCTCTTGAATTTCAGGGCCAATACCCTTGATGAAATCCCATTCACTCATTTTAAAAAGATTAATTGCAGATGTTAGGAGTGTGAATGGGACCGTCATAGGGTCCAAATCAGATTTAATCTTTTTTATATCATATCTTCAGTGAAATTCAAAATTGCCTACTAAACCTCCTGTCAAAGCAATAAAATAACCATCCCACAATATTGGAATTGTCTATTATTCCTTTTATACAGTGTTTTAACACACTAGTTGGTAGTGTAATGGATGAAACATTTTCATTTATAGCAACAATTCTATAGGATAGCAATAATGTACAATTTATTTGCAAAAACTATTGTCCTGTGACAATAAATAGCTTGCTTATCATTTATAGGGATACAGACCAGTGGCAGTATTCAGCCAGTTCTATCTGGTTCGTGCGAACTGGTAGCGGCGGCTGTGGGAGGCTCCACCCACCCACCCAGATGTCATCATGTCATGTTTTTGATGCTTGCGCATGCGCAGAAGGCCCTGTGAATGCGCAGAGGTGATGCCTGCGAGTGAAGTGAGCGCGCGCACACTCACTTTTGCGAACCAGTAGCGAAGGTAAGTAAATACCACCACTGGCACCACTTAATAAGTATTAAGCAATACTTATTTGCTTAATTGATTTCCTATATAATTGAAATACCGCATAAAACAAATAAATGTAAAACATAAAACAAGTAAGTAAGTAAATAAGTACCACAGTTTTAAATAATGCTGTCCCAAACTATTTGACCTTCTTTGTCTCATTTGAGAAATTGGAGGGAATTAAAAGGCCCCAAAGAAAGATAATCTACAAGAAAGATAATCTACAAGATTATCTTCTCTTCTCTGTGGGGGCACCTACTATCTGGAAGGAGCTCCCCCCGGAGATACGGAGGATCCCGGATCTGCGCACTTTCCGCCGTGCTATTAAGACCCTCCTATTCCAGGAGGCCGGCCTGGCCTAATTTTCTCCCCTTTCTTTTAAATTTTTTAAACTAAAATTTTAATTTGTTTTTAAATTATTGGGAATTTTAATTGTCTCGGGCGAAATTATTTAATTTGGTTTTAATTATGTTTTTAACTTTTGTATTTATGTGTTTTATTCTGTGTCTGTTCACCGCCCTGAGTCCTTCGGGAGTAGGGCGGTATACAAATCTAATCAATTAAATGAATGAAATGAAATAAATGAAATAAATGAAAGATAAGAGCCCTGGTGGCGCAGCAGACTAAAGCACTGTTATTAACATCAGCTGCCTGCAATTACGGCAAGTTCAAATCTCACCAGGCTCAAGGTTGACTCAGCCTTCCATCCTTTCTAAGGTAGGTAAAATGAGGACCCAGATTGTGGGGGCAATAAACTGACTTTGTATAAAATATACAAAAGTGTGAAGGCTATTACTTAACGTATTGTAAGCCGCCCTGAGTCTCCGGAGAAGGGAGGCATATAAATCAAATAAAAAAAAAAAAGATAAGGCTGTGTGTCCCTTTGTCTCTGCACACTCCTACTGAATTTTCCCAGAAATTATTTTTTTCCCTGCAAAAAGAATAAAGTAGAAATTGATGGCCCTTGTTAAGTGGATAAGAATCCTGTAGAGTCCAGGGACAAGGTTCAACCCATTTTTAATTTAATGATGCTAACCAACAGATAACAAAATGTTTTTATAGAAAGGAAGGATTATTAGCCTGATACCGCCAACAGAAAGTTTCAGAGCCTGGAATATTTGCTGACAAGGGCCTCTCTCCCATTCCCATCAAGCATGCCTCTGATGATAAAATGCATTCCTTCAAACAGCCTCGTCTTGGGTTGTAGTTGTATGTGGCCGGAGGGGCTACAATTAACATTTAGAGTTTATGCCACTAAATGGGCTGTTAGACAGAAAAGCTGCCACAGTCTGACTGGAACTGTTTGGATGCTTAAAAATATGCCAAAATAATTCCCCACATGCTTAAATAGAGCAATCTCACATTATTCAGATAATTCGTAAAGTTTAAATCACATTACTATTAGAAAATTATGGGTACTATTTAAATTATTGCTTCAAATTTTGGTGTAAAGTAATAATCCAAATTTTGAACCAAATGTGGTATGTTGATTTTTTTTGTCTTGCTATTAAATTTGGTAAGTGATAGCTAGGTAAATTAATTTTGTTCCCTTTCTCAATCTTTCACCTGCAATATGGAAATAATGACATTGAACTACTTATAGAGGTATTTGAAATGCAAGATAATTTATATCACACTTTGGTAGTTACACACACACTTTCACATTCAGATCTAAAAGGATACTGTACTTTGAAATGTACAAGCTGTGAATGTTGCACCTTACAATGCTTTAATCCAGGCATTTGTTTTCCCAGGATTGTGGGGCTGCCCGTGCAGCTTTTGTGGGATTGCAGGAGAAAAAAAAAATGACTTCCTGAAGGAGCTGCAGATAGGCGTTAGATGTGCCTTGTCGTATACCCTGAGGTCCTTTTCTCAAATTGTTTATGAAGGGCTTCAATGACCTAATATTATGTACATATGAAGTGGCTTTCTAAATTAATTTTGAAAAGTAGTATAATCTCTTCCCTGACTGCAGAGCTGTTCAAAATGAAAAAAGAAAGGGAAAAACTTGGAGAAGAAAATAATTGAAAACATTAGTGAATACGGTAGGTGAAAAGTAAACAAACTAGGTTTGTCCAGCACAGAAAAGTTGATGGCTAGAAAACCTGTAATTAATTAATTAATAATTACCTCCGGAGTTTTTAAACCACTAGGAGAATTCACAGGGATTTTTGTCAAAGTAAAGGATGCCCTTACTATAAACATTTCCCATATAAGAACAAGTGCCTGTTTTCATTACATGTCACTAATGATGAACTAATTTTAAGTGACTTCGTTATTTATTTCTATTTGACCCTCAGCCTAACCCTATCAAATATTCCAGGGCAACATCGAAAATATTTTCATCTAAGAATAATACAGGGGTATTGAAAAACCACCTGGCATCACAGGGAAATATATGCTAAGTCCCACCCTGACTAATGTTGAGATTCTGAATGAGAGACTCCTTGATTTAGTTGGAAAGATCCTATCCAGCCAAGTAGCAGCATACTAGGAACTAGTAAAGTACTTCTCTGTTGTTTCAAGAATCCAATGAGATTTCAAAGTAAGGCTAAATAGTTTTTCTCATAGGAGAAACAATTATTAATTTGTGGCTGAATATACTACAGTATATTCTGCCTCATTCTCAGGTAAACCCTGGCCAAACAAAAGGTGGATACATGAATTACCATGTTCTCCAGATATAATGCCCCAAATATATAAGTCTGCTTGTATATCGATGTGCATAAAATTTATCAGGATGCATTGTGAACCTTTTTTCAGTCCAAAGTCTTTTAATTGTATGATAGTAATTTAAACATTAAACAATTCCACTGAAAATTATTCTGTTATTTAAATGAATGGGTGGAAATAAGAAAATAAAATATAGAAAAATTGGTTGGGAATTTAAGAATAAATTATCTTGCTGTGGCACAGTGGTTAGAATGCAGTACTGCAGGCTATGTCTGCTGACTGCCGGCTGCCTGCAATTTGGCAGTTCAAATCTCACCAGGCTCAAGGTTGACTCAGCCTTCCATCCTTCCGAGGTTAGTAAAACGAGGACCCAGATTGTTGTGGGCAATAGGCTGACTCTGTAAATTGCTTAGAGAGAGCTGTAAAGCACTATGAAGCAGTATATAAGTCTAAGTGCTATTGCTATTGCTATTTTGGGAGGATAGAATCTGCTTGGGAAAAAAGTCTGCTTCTTTCAAGAGCATGGTTTAAGCATGTCAGTTCATGAAACATATATGAAAAGGGACAAACTGAAAAGCATGTTTGATCTGATTGTTTATCTTGAAAGACTGAGAGATTCAGTAAAGGATTCAAGGGTGATGAAATGTTCTGAATGTAGGACAGATTTGTGTCTGTCCTACCATGTCATACCATGATTTGTATGATAAATATCAAGAGTGGATCTTGGGAAAAATGGATTTTAAAAAAAGTAACAGAAAACGGAGTGAGTGCTGGGAAAACCCGTTTATGAAAACCTGGAAGACAAGTTAATCTCTCAACAGGATGAATGGAAAGTGGATGTCCTGAAAGAGGATATGTTGCTCTGAACAAAAAGAATTATGTTGCAAAAAAACTGAAGAAGCATATGGAGTTATAATAATAGTAAGTATATGTGTTAGTAACATTTTAAAAAGAAACAGGCTGTTTTGTGGAAAAATACATATAAGAGAATGACTGCTGAAAAAAATGATGAAAGATATACAGTATAGACATCTAATGGAGAGAGAGAGAAAGAGAGAGAGTTCATTCCCCAGGATTGGAAAAACGCCATTATTGTTTCCTAGAACAAAGGAAAGATAGCAAGAGTGAATTAAGAACTGCAGGGGAATTAGTTTATTAAGAGTGCCTGGGATGGTGTTTGGCAAATTCCTGATTGAAAGGATATGAGAGGTAACAATGAGCAGTATTTTGGCAGTACAATATGTAATTATTTTCCAGAGCAGATTTTTGTTCTTCAGCAGGTGTTGGGACATGTATGAATGGAGAAAGAAAGGTTATTGCACATTTGTTGATTTAGAGAAAGTGTATGATAATGTGAATAGGCTTGAATTATTAAATATTTTGCACAACAATTGGTTGCTGAATGCAATAAGTGCATTATATGATGAGCTAAAGCATGCATGGGAATTAATGGAAGGTTTAACGAATTGCCGTGAGTAAGAATGTGCTTCTATCACTTTGTTATGCTTAAGTGACAATTGGGCACATCAAGAGAACCATATGTTTGAATGCAAAGGGAGTGGATTACTTAAGTGTGCACAGTAAAACAATAACCAGAATCAGCATGAAATGGGAGGCAATTGGTTTCTGGGAAGCAAAATGGAGACTGCTCTTTTTTAATTCTCTGCTCACCTTCAAAGCAACTTCAGTCATGTTCTACTTCTGAAATACACTTCTAATAGAACACTATTATATATAGGAGGAAGAATGACAGAACCTAGGGCAGAGTGAAAAGAGGAATAGCTTAGAATCTCTATGTGGCCATCAGCAAACTAAATCCTGTTGAGTGCCATGGACCCTTATCTAACTCTAACCAGGTGCTGACCATTAGTTCAGACGTTTTCTGTGTATAGGCTTTTAGCAATAAATCAGGTTGATTGAACCTTCACCTGTATACCTGTCCTTATGCACCTAACATTACAGAAGTCCTAGATTTACAATCATTCGTTTAGTGACCATTTGAAGTCACAACAACACTGAAAAAAGTGACTTATGTTTGATTTTTACACTTATGACTGATGCAGTTTTCCCACAGTTATATGATCAGAATTTGGATGCTTGGCAACTGGCATGTATTTATAACAGCTGCAGTGTCCCAGAGTCATGTGATTATCATTTGTAACTTTCCCAGCCAGCTTCTGACAAGGAAAGTTGAATGGAGAAGCCAGATTCGCTTAATCACTGTAGTAAAAAAGGTCATAAAATAGGATGCAACTCATTTAATGACTGTCTTGCTTAGCAACAGAAATTTTGTGGTCATAAGTTGAATACTACCTATATGTGGCCGTTTGTACTTCTTTTTGTTTGACTTCACTTTGTTGCTTAGCAACAGAAATTTTGAGTTCAATTGTGGTCATAAGTTGAATACTACCTATATGTGGCCGTTTGTACTTCTTTTTGTTTGACTTCACTTTGTTGCAGGCTGATCTCAATATTTCATTGCAGAGGAAAGACTGCCCTTTCAACTCAGTTTATCATGCACTCTAATTGTTCCTACGCCTCTTTATAAGCACTGATAAAATAACATAGTGGTTAAGAACTTTACTTAAGATAGAGAAGGTGGCTGATTAAAAACCAGCTCTCACATGTATAATTACATTTGCTCTTAACTTCAATAGGTATCTTTCCTTCTAGTTGTTGTTGTTGTTGTTGTTGTTGTTGTTGTTGTTGTTGTTGTTGTTTTAATAAGATGAGGATACCATTTTATCTTTTCCTTCCAGTCACTTAAGGTGAAAGAGTTTCACCTCCATCTCCAAAATAATCCACAGGTTATTTGGGCTATTTTAGAGCTGAAATGAAACCATTCTACTTCAGGTGACTAACAAAATATTAAAACGGTGAACACCTGGATTCTTTAAAAATTATTTTTGAGCTCAAAGAGTTAAAAAAAACCCCAGGTGATTACCATTTTAATATTTAAAATAAGTAGAGAGTGTGAAGATTATACTATTATTATTGTTGGTCTTAGTGTTATTTCTGCCCAATTTTGAAGTGGTAAATGAAGATCTTACTGACTGTGCTGTTTCAGCAGTGCTGATGAAAAAGAGGAATAGAAATGCTCATGCTGACAAGAAGGAATTGTTTTTTTTAACTATTTATTGTCTCTACTTCTATCTGCATTATGATGTAGCATAACCGTGTATATATGAATTTAACTTTGGTTTGTGTCTATGTGAGTATATACACCAGTGGTGGGTTGCTCCCGGTTCGCACCGGTTCACAAGAACTGGTAGTAAAAATTTGTAGTAGTTCGGAGAACTGGTAATAACATTGGCTGGCCACGCCCCCAAACCGGTCCCCTGCCCAGTCGCTGCTTGCTTACCCCGCCCACCTCATCAGAGGCTTTTTTATTTTTTTACTTTTAAAAGCATTTTTTCTATAACCTCTTCGGCCGAAAAAATGCTTTTAAAAGTTAAAAAAAAAGCCTCTGATGATCGCGTGGCTCAGCTGGGATCGTCAGAGGCTTTTAAAAGCATTTTTTCTACAACTTCTTCAGCCGAAGAGGTTGTAGGAAAAAAAATGCCTTTAAAAGCCTCTGTCAATCCTAGCTGAGTTGCCTGATCGTCAGAGGCTTCTAAAAGCATTTTTTTCTGCAACCTCTTAAGGTTGTAGAAAAAATGCTTTTAAAAGTAAAAAAAAAAAAAAAAAAGTTGGCTACGCCCACCCATTCACATTACCCCACCACCAAGCCATGCCCACAAAATAAGCCATGCCCACAGAACTGGTAGTAAAAAAATTTAGAACCCACCCTGATATACACATATATGTTGGGTGGGCATTGCCACTTTTCTTCAAAGAGAAAAAATGAGAAGTCATAACAGTATTCTCCTGCCATATGCAATGGCAGGAGAAGGGGATCTGAAGTCTGGACAGAATATCTTCCAAGTTAATGCAAAAGTGTCTCAACACGGAGAATAATTTTTTTAAAAGTAGCTAAGAATCAGGTTGGCATTTTCATAGGATAGGAACAAATTAAAAATGTGTAGCTATCAAAATATTTATAATCCTTTTTAAAGTGGTGTGAGAAACCAGGGGCTGTGGTGGCACAATGGTTAGAATGCAGTATTAAAGGCAAACTCTGCCCAAAGCCTGGAGCTCGATCCTGACAGGCTCAGGGTTGACTCAGCCTTTCATCCTTCCGAGGTCAGTAAAATGAGGGCATTTTAGATTTTTGGGGGCAATGTGCTGACATTTGCAAACTGCCCAGAGAGTGCTGTAAAGCATTATGGAGTAGTATATAAATCTAAGTGCTATTGCTATTGTTATTGATGAAGTCCCTAACAGCCTCCTCAGACTAATCCATGGTACTATTTCCACTCCTTCAAAGCAGGAAAGATGCAAAGTCTACAGTAAGCTAGGCTTAATATATTTTAAAAGGTAAAGTGACTCTGACCCCAAACCCCAAAATGTAACCATACCATACCAATAGATGATGCACCTCTTCCCACTGTAATAAGTGCAGAATTTCTTTGGGTATATAGAATATGCCTAGTACATTGAAAAATGCAAATATATTTCCAGATACAATATGTCCGAATGCAAAATGAACTATTTTAATTCATGACTAATTATATTCTTTGGTACTGTATTACATTTCTTCGGAAATTCATTTTTCCAGTTAAACCACTGCAAAGGATTGTTGCAATTTATGTATGTTGCATTGCAAAACTCATGGTCACAGTGATAGCTTCTTTTTGTGTGTGTCATTCTCAGTGTGTAAGATTGATCCAAATCAGTTTCTATTTAGCAGAAACAGCATGTTGTCCCTTCACTTTAGGAGACTTTGAAGCTCAGCTTTGACAATAAAGAATTTTGCTATTTTGTCATGGCTTGTAAATTGGAGGATCAGTGGATGATATAGCATATTCTTAAGCTATATAGCAACTACCAAACATTACAAAAACCCTGTTCATTCTATATATGGAAAGACTGAAGATGAGACTAGGCCAAAGGACAATTAGCGGCAAGCCACAACATACTGATTACAAAACATTTATACATCAGTGTTCCTTCTCTCCCTGCTTCATCTTAACTGACTTAGGTTTTTATTTATCAAATAAAACATTTTCAACATTTTTCAGAAGTGGTTTGCCATTGCTTCCTTACTAGGGCTGAGAGAAAGTGACTGTCCCAAGGTCATCCAGCTGCCTGACTGCCTAATGTGGGACTATCACTCACATTCTCCTAGTTTCTAGTCTGGTGCCTTAACCATTAAACCAAACTGGCTCCCAATTCAGTTCCTGTTAATCTGCTCTATTTTTTTTCTTTACTTCCTGATTGTAAAAAAAGCTCATGATATTATCCATCTTTACTCTGCTCTGGTAAGCCCTTTAGTGCTTTCAATAAACTTAATAAGTTACAGTACCTGTAGGCCTATAAATTGGATATAAATTTTAATAATAGGCATAAGGATAATTTATTTATTCAGGGTTATTGTTCATCTTAAAATAATCTACAAACTGCAAAATGGGGTGCAGAAAAAGCACAGTAACTATAAAGCATCCTAAGTTTGTAGTATAATCAATCATTTAAAAAAAAAGCTTATGTTCTTGCTCCAGTCTCAACAATGCTCAAATGTTTTTTTAAATTTTGCTTTCCTATGTTTCGCTGATTTATATTTCTTTCCGTCCTCACTCATATTTCTCATGGGATTACTGAAAGCCAAACCTTTACCAATACCAATCTTCTTCAAAGTTTTTTTTTTTTTTAGTTTACCTTCCTTCATCTATTTCTAATATATATTTCGTCATTGCTTGCCCAAACTCTTATTATGGGATATAAAGATTTTCACTTTCACATGTCAAATGCTTAGATGCAGGTTCCTCAAAATGAGAATTCAACATAAAAACACTGGCAGGTTTTTTCAGATGGGCTGTAATAAGAAGAATGTTTTTCTTTTTCACATCATATGTTATTACCTAACAGAATGGACTTGGGAAACAGATTACAAATTGTCTAAAATGCTAGACAGGTACAAGATGGAATTTAAAGTAGCAAATGCAACAGGCCAGGATCAATACTCGATCAACACTTCGAAATAAATCAATTTTAGTAAATATTTAGTCACACAAGCTGAAAATTTGATTGCTTGTGATTATTTGTTTTGTTGCATTTAAGTTGGTATATTATCAACTTCTGGAATTTTTCAGCAGTTTTCCCTAAAAGAAACTTAAAATATTAGGAAAAAAATACAATAGGAATTCAAAGTAATAAAAGCAGGTAAAGCAAGTAGAATTAATGATAAAGAATCCTGCTCAAAAAGATGTGCCAAGAGCCATTTTTAAAAGCTAATAAATCTGTTAAGCTCCTCAGCTTGCAGCAAGTACATTCCAGAGATGTTTAGAAAAGCTTTAGAGTATTTTTTGTTTGATCAAGTCTTTGTAATAAATGGATGCAGAATGTTTACAGTTAATCATAGGATCAACCAGAGAGAAACCTACCTGGAATGAATCAACCCTTGATTTAATGAGATATATAAGCATTGCTGAAATTATTGGAAAAGGATAGTCAGTGTTCTAATACCTTTCATTTATATGTATTTGTTTTTTATGCTTTCCACAATCATTATGAAAGCCTTACAGATTTGATCAATAATATATCTGCTAAATAAATACATGTGGAAATGGCATAACAACCAGAAGAAAAACCCTTCTGAATCTGGCCATTGGGGCACCTAATCCATAATTTGTATTATACAGTGGGCAGTCAGACGTGATC